AAACTCTTGTCCAGAGAAAAACTTCTACATGCATAAAGGGATTTCAATATAACTTGGCACAAATGTTAACCATTGTAAGGCGGCGTGTCGCGTGCAAAATATAGGTCCCGGCGGGCAAGGTTAAGATCACACATAGGGGTCAAAGTTCAGATAAAAATATGAAAATGTGTATTCGGACCATTTTGTAATCATTCATTGAGGGATTGAAACACAAATGGTCATCGTCATGACTACTGGTGTGAAATATGTCATTTAGGTTAATATATACAAGGTCAAGGTCAGTAAAGATGATTAAATATAGAAATTTTGACAAGAGCATATCTCCTCCATGCATGGTGAGATTCTAATGAAGCTTCATAGGAATATTCACTACTATGAGATCTCTAGGTTAAAACTTAAGGTCACACTTAGAGGTCATTGAAAAATGTTTCTTTGGAGCCGAACTTCTACATTCATCAGGGTATTTTAATGTACTTTGGCACAAATGTTCATCATTGTGACGCTTATTGCGCATATAATCCAGGTTCCTTCTACCAAACTCAAGGTCACATAGAGATGTCATAGTTTGTGAACGGGGACCATTTAGTCATCATTTATTGATGGATTGTAACACAAAATATAACTATCATGACTACACCTGTGACACATGAAATGTAATTAAGGTTAATTAATACTTGCAAGGTCAAGATCATTATATCATATCTATAATGCCCACATCTATGTCGAATGCTTTTGTGACGGGCGTATATTGCGACAATTTTGCCCTTGTTATTTTATGCAACCTTCACGAGAGAAAGCAAAAAGTTCAAGATTGAGGAAATACCGGATCTGGAAAAAGTAAACTGAAAACGTTCATACAGTGCTTAAGTATTAATACCGAAGTACTTTGGACGTATTATGCCTTCGTCAGGGGTGCATTATATGTATAAAATATGAAAAACAAGATCAACAAGGAAAGGCGGCGTTCAATGAACGCAACCCCCATATGACCCAGCAACAAGAACCAACGGCAAGGAGCCCAGGCGGACCCCAAACATAAAAAGGACAGGGCAACGACACGTTAATCATTAAATGATAAATAATTTGTAACTGATTAGGAATGCACAATAGAGCACAAAATCTCTATTCGTGTGTACTGTATATTACCAAAAATTGAACTGAAACATAGTCGCTAGAAAGGTGATAAAATTGCATGGATTATGAAAAGACCGTTATTGAATGGTCATTGTTGTTCTCCTTTACAAAACAATTATATAGCCCGCGGACAATGTGGTGTAAGTAGAAATGATAACGAATATAAGGGAATTTCTGTTTTACAAAAATGAAAACTATATATATAAAGGCTTTTTTGTTTATTTACTGAAAGTATGATGTCAGAAATTTCAATTTTCATCAAATAGAAATCAAATAAAAATGACATTACAGGAAAAGCTTCCTGGCACCGTGAAAGAGTGCCCTCCTGGCACCGCCTGATTTTTTAAGGAAGGTTTAAAGCAATTTGTCAGATATGGGCGAGGATTAATGTTAAAGTTAGACTCCTTTATTGATTAAGCGTATTAAGTCGACGGATCCAGATATAATATCGAAGCTTAGGGAATTTTCAACATTTTTAACAAATATCAAAACTATATATATAAAGGCGTTTTGTGTTTATTAACTATAAGTTTAAAGTCAGAAATTGCAATTTTCATCAAGTAGGGTGTTATATAAAGTAGAAATTATATACAAATGACATAAGATGAAAAGTTCCCAGGCACCGGGAAAGAATACTCTACCTGGCACCGCCTGATAATTCAAGGAAGGTGTAAAGCAATTAGTCAGATATGTGCGAGGATGTATGTTCAAGTTAGTCTCCAATATCGATTCCTGATGGCTCAAGCGTATTGTATGTGTCACGTGATTTGCGTGTTACATCTAACCTTTGTTTGTTGTGTTTAAACAGCAAACAGTAAAACAGCAAATGTTACCGGTATTCGTCTTATCTCTGGCAATGTGTGCAACAAACAATATGTCGGCAAATCTAAACTTTTTCATTACACCGCTGTGAGAACACGCAAATTTATTAGATCCCCAGTCGCTGAACATTTTTACCTTGAGGGACGGTTTTAAATTAGTTTATTGCTTAAAACCTTCCTTAAATAATCAAGCAGTGCCAGGGAGGGCACTCTTTCTCGGTGCCAGGGAGCTTTTCATCTAATTTCATTTGTATTTAATTTCTACTTGAATTCTGCTTAAGCCGGTGCTAGGGGGCGTGGACGGTAACTTGCACTTTCCAGTACCGTCCATGAACAGGCTCAATCAAACCGAGCCTGCAACATTTTCAATTTTGCTGTGTTGGGCTTTCTTTAGGGATTCTATATTTATCTATTTTAAATACCTGTCCCTCTGTTGTATTGAACACAATGGTCAGATCTAACACGCAAATCACGTAAGACATACTCACAGGGATCAATAAAAGAGACAAACTTTAACATAAATCTGATAAATTGCTTAAAATCTTCCTTAAATAATCAAGCAGTGCCAGGGAGGGCACTCTTTCTCGGTGCCAGGGAGCTTTTCATCTAATTTCATTTGTATTTAATTTCTACTTGATGAAAATTGCAATTTTTGACATTATACGTTTAGTAAATAAACACAAAACGCCCTGATATATATAGTTTTATTTTTTGTAAAACAGTTAAAAATTCCCAAAGAGTCGATATTTATATCTACGTAAAATAGATAAATACAGAATCCCTAAAGAAAGCCCAACACCATATTGTCCGCGGGCTATATTATTCTTTTGAAAAGAATAACAACAATGACTATTCAATAACGGTTTTTCATAATCCATGCAATGCTATCACCTTTCTAGCGACTGTGTTTCAGTTCAATAGTACACACGTATAGATATTTTGTGCTCTATCTGTGAATATTATACATGTAATACATCCCTGATGAAGGCATAATACGCTGAAAGTACTTGGGTATTTATACTTTAGCACTGTATAAACGTTTATTTTCTCCCAGTTTTTTGTTCTTCTATCTACGTTCTTGTATCCTTCTTGGGATTCAGTGTTTTTGAAAGGTATTCTGTAGATGTAAACATTTTCACAACCCTATCATGTAACATTATATATACACTTTTAATCTAACAAACTCAAGAGAAAAAAGGCAAATATATATATATGAATACATAACCCTCCAATCAATTATTAAGAAAATAGATAAATACAGAATCCCTAAAGAAAGCCCAACACGGCAAAATTGAAAATGTTGCAGGCTCGGTTTGATTGAGCCTGTTCATGGACGGTACTGGAAAGTGCAAGTTACCGTCCACGCCCCCTAGCACCGGCTGAAGCAGAATTCAACATTTGAACATGAAATAGTACAATTTTGAATTTAGAGACATCCGCAGATGTGTTCATACGGCGGTTATCATGGAACCTTCAATGTGACACTTCCGTGCCATTCCATGAAAAGCGGCGTATGGTCCCCAAGTAATAAAAAGCGTGTGCCCTAAACGAGAAAACAATGGATAAGAACTCTGATTCATTTCAACAATGCAAGGACTGGCAATTTCAAACCAAAGACAAGTATTTTTATTCTATCAATCTTCCTGAATTCTTGCAGTACCAAACCTACATTTGACTAGTTTTAAAAGATATGATTATGTGGTCTGCTTCTTTTAATCGTCTGTTATGTAAAATTTAACCAATTATCTGTCTAAAGTTACAGAAAATAAACAGATACGTGTTTCAGCTTAAGGTCTCCTAATTGTATAACACATTGGCGAAACTTGTTTTGTTTAATTATTTTTTCAAGTAGAGAAAATATTTTCATATAAATCATGGCTATGCTTCCGAGGGATCACTTTGTTTCCAGAATTCTTTAATTCTTGAAATATCGTCGGAAACAGTGTCTTTTCTTAAGATGGAGGGAGCACTTTGTTTCCAGAATTTTTTAATTCTTGAAATATCGTCGGAAACAGTGTCTTTTCTTAAGATGTTGGAAGCAAGACACACCTTTTATTTGAAGTGTATACATAAACTATTTGATAGTAAGATATTAAAAGTCAAATATAAATAAGTCATGATAATAAATATGTGTAAATGCCAATTATTGCAATATTTTCATACAAATAAGTTGAATACATAGAACGTTAGACATCTATAGCCGCTTGGTGGCTGTCGTGTTTTATTTTACCTTTATCTTAGGCTTAATCTGCAACTCCTTCAAATTGTTCAAATGTTTAATCATATATTAATGTGATAGTAAACACAAAATATTGTTACGAGCCAGGCGTAACGAGAAAGAAAAGCCAGCAACAAACTTGTAACAATAACAAATTTATTACAGAAAAATTATTAAAGAAAAATAAAATAACAAATTATGTTTACAAATACCTGAAGTCCAAATAAAAATGAAATCTTAAATGTCTAGTCTGATCCTGGAATGATCCTTTTTTGAATAGCACACTTAAATCCAAGTAAAATCCAAGAACACTTTAGAATAAATTCCCACAATAAAATCTACTAGAATAATTTTAACTATTTTAAAATAATCCAAGCTCCAATAAATCACTTAATTTCCAAGTTGAATAATACTCCAAATATATTGATGACTTAAAAGATCACTGAATAACTTAAAAGGTAACGGATGACTTAAAGATAAGAGAAATGAAAAATGTCTCCTTATATATATTAACTAAGAAGTTTCTAGAATAGTCTTCCATTTACTACAGTAATCATAATCTAGCAACTTCAACAATAAAGATCATTCCAGAAATTTCTATCTAAATATAATGCATGAGTTTTCTACAACAGTTAAGAAAGTTCTAGTACATACATGTAGTTTATGTTCTAAAAATAGAACAATGATAATATTGGAAATACCAACTGGTCAGATATAAATTATATACATGTAATATGTTGCATACATAACACTTCCCCTCTTCAAGAAAAAGAAATATGAATGAAATGAATATTTCTTTTACATAAATTCAAACAATGTAACTTATGGAATGTCACGCTATCCATATCAACAGGTTACACAAGAAGATGGAAATGAAATGATAAAGCTGAAAAACAACATAGTAAAAACAATCTGCAGTAGAATAATACCACCCCCATATTTTGAAACTATACCAGCTGACATTGATATAATTGAAGCTACTGACAATCCAAGTCAACCCATGGCACAGATAGAATTTCGTGAGATAAGAAGAAAACAGAGACAAGATCCTATGATAGAAAAATGGCGACGAGCAATAATTGACAAGAAATTACCACCTAAGAGTTGGGACAGAGATGATACAATTATGAAAAGAGTCTACGACAAATTACATTTAAAAAGAGGCATCCTGTACAAACATATAGAGAAAGACAACATCAACCAACTTGTTGTACCAAAGTGCTATAGATATGACATACTGAAAGGTCTTCATGATAATGTAGGTCACCCTGGTCGTGAAAGAACTCTTGCCTTACTTAGAGAACGATTTTATTGGCCGAGAATGTCAGTTGATGTTGACAATTGGGTATCCAATTGTAATCGATGTCTTCGAAGAAAGACTAATACCAGCATACGCGCACCATTAGTTAACATTGAAACAACGCATCCACTGGAGATGGTGTGCATGGATTACTTAACTCTTGAGCCTTCCAAAGGAGGAATAGCAAATATCCTAGTAATTACAGACCACTTTACAAAATTTGCTATGGCCATTCCTACAAGAAATCAGACTGCCAAAACAACTGCGGAAGCATTTTACAATAATTTTATTGTTCATTATGGTATTCCAACATCCATCCATTCCGATCAAGGGGCAAATTTTCAATCTGAAATCATTAAAGAACTTTGTGCTATTACAGATATGAAGAAATCTAGGACTTCAATTTATCACCCAATGGGAAATGGTGTTTGTGAACGATTTAATCGTACACTATTAGACATGTTAGGCACTCTTGAAACATCACAAAAATCTGACTGGAAAAAACATATACCATCTTTAGTTTATGCCTACAACAGCACACCTCATGAAAGTACAAAAATCTCACCATATGAACTCATGTTTGGCAGAAAAGCAAGACTTCCAATTGATTCCCTATTTGCTCAAGCAACAGAAGAAACAACATCAACAACACCAATAGAATACATAAATGAATTAAAGAACTATATTAGGACAACAAGAAAGATAGTAGAAGATCACACTCAAAAAGCAAAAGAGAAACAGAAGAAATATTTTGATAGGAAAGCAAAAGCAGGAACAATAACAGTAGGAGACAAGGTGATGGTTAAGATATTAAAACATGATGGCAAACATAAAATCGCCGATAAATTTGAACAAGAGCTTTTTGACGTCATAGATCAACCAAGACCAGAAATTCCGGTATTTAAGGTTAAATCTGAAAATACCGGCATTATCAAAACACTCCACAGAAACCATTTGTATCCAGTGCAAGAAAACAACATACTTGGTTCTGAAGAACAGAAAAGGAGAATGGTAAACAAAGAATGGGAGAAAGAAAACATAGATGACAGGCCTGTTCCAAAGAAGAGGAAGCCTTCAAAAGAAGACAACTCAAAAAGAGATGGATCAGAGGAGAGAAATATAAATCAAGGTAAGGACAAAGGTGACGTCACAACAGAAGCAGAGGATTCTGAATATTCTGATTCAGAGACGGGAAGCAGTAATGTAGTTCATACATACAGCAGTGGGGACGCCCATATTCCCAAGGACAGTGAAATTGATAGAACTCTGCAGTTTGAAGTAAAAGATAGACTAGCTGATACAGATGAGATACAAATGGAGGATGAAGTAAAAGATGAAGATCAAAAGGAAAAAGAGACGATAGTGATAGAAAATGAAGGAGATGTAGGAAACACTAGTGTTTTAACAGACACTTATGTTGATAATACTGAAGAACCAAAAGAAGAAACACATGAAATCATAGATATTACAGAAGAATTTACAGATACAAATGAGGAGCATATACATCATACAGACGGAGACAATATAAGTACTGAATCTATTCAGACAATAGACTTTGTTGGGGATTCCAATAAAAATGTTGAATCAATGGAAATAGACAATGATGAAACCAATAAAAAACATATAACACATGATGAAACTGAAAAGGTTATAACAACTGAACATAGAGAACAAGCATGTGTACCAAAACCTGCTCCAAGAAAATCTAGCAGAGAGAAAAGACAACCAAAATGGTTTGACTCATATCAAATGAATCAGATGGTGACAATGAGACCTATTGATTCCAAGCTTCATGCTTTGAATAAGCTAATGACATCAGGAATACTGAAGGATGTAGACTCAGAATTTGCACATAAACTCATAGACGCTATCATGAAATGATTTTGAAATTTTGTATCATGACTGTATTTTGAATTGAATTGAATTGTACATTTGCATTAAAGATATGTCATTAATGAGGCTATATATCTATCTGTATGTCATGTTTTCTTAAAAATAATATTTATTGCAAGAATGCAATTCAGAGAGAGGGGAGAAAATAATGTATTTTAAACAGTTTTTACTATATTTTAAATAAAATCATAACTTAAAGATTGTTGCGTAAGTAATAATCAATGATAAAACTATTTTTTTAAGTTCAATCATTAAATAAGCTTACTATTAAAATATCTTTAAAAAAATGAAGGTCTAAAATAAACATTGAGTGTAATATGATGGGAAATGAAGCTAATACTTGTGGATGAAGTCCACCAAGTAAGAGTTGTGTGTCATTTATACAGTGTCACAGTTGGCTTGATGTTATATTTTCGATCCTTGAAGATCGTTCAGCACGACATTATTGTTGTGCTTGTGGTATTTTTAGTTTCAACTTTTCGGTATTTTCTAGTTGGGTGGTTCCAATATTCCTACTTGAATAATGTTGAATCACCCTTAGGATATGTTGCCTGCTTTTTAAATTTCTCTTTTGACGTCTTATCTGTGATACGCAGGCTTCATAACCTCTGATCCCCTTTCAAAATTCCATTTTATTTAGTTCCGCCCATTGTTTTCTCGTTTAGGGCACACGCTTTTCATTACTTTGGGACCATACGCCGCTTTTCATGGAATGGCACGGAAGTGTCACATTGAAGGTTCCATGATAACCGCCGTATGAACACATCTGCGGATGTTTCTAAATTCAAAATTTTACTAATTCATGTTTCAATGTTGAATTCTGCTTAAGCCGGTGCTAGGGGGCGTGGACGGTAACTTGCACTTTCCAGTACCGTCCATGAACAGGCTCAATCAAACCGAGCCTGCAACATTTTCAATTTTGCCGTGTTGGGCTTTCTTTAGGGATTCTGAATTTATCTATTTTATGATCACATCCGTGTTATTTGTGTCGTGTGGCGGCTGTAAAAAGTCTCCCCGTACATTTAATCAATGATGTTATATTTTCGATCCTTGAAGATCGTTCAGCACGACATTATTGTTGTGCTTGTGGTATTTTTAGTTTCAACTTTTCGGTTTCAACTTTTCGGTATTTTCTAGTTGGGTGGTTCCAATATTCCTACTTGAATAATGTTGAATCACCCTTAGGATATGTTGCCTGCTTTTTAAATTTGCCTTTTGACGTCTTATCTGTGATACGCAGGCTTCATAACCTCTGATCCCCTTTCAAAATTCCATTTTATTTAGTTCCGCCCATTGTTTTCTCGTTTAGGGCACACGCTTTTCATTACTTTGGGACCATACGCCGCTTTTCATGGAATGGCACGGAAGTGTCACATTGAAGGTTCCATGATAACCGCCGTATGAACACATCTGCGGATGTTTCTAAATTCAAAATTTTACTAATTCATGTTTCAATGTTGAATTCTGCTTAAGCCGGTGCTAGGGGGCGTGGACGGTACTTGCACTTTCCAGTACCGTCCATGAACAGGCTCAATCAAACCGAGCCTGCAACATTTTCAATTTTGCCGTGTTGGGCTTTCTTTAGGGATTCTGTATTTATCTATTTTGAGATTAATGTACATTAGAGTAGAATTAAACTATGTAGTGATATGTAGTTTGTAATTATATAAGACACAGTTGCTCACTTATGACTCGGACAGACCCTACGAAATGACGAGACATCATTTTTCAAGGAGGGGAAGTGTGTAACAGGGTCATCTTTTCGTGCATTGAACTAAGTTGAGTTCATTCCAGTTACTTCCCTTGTATCATTTTTAGCCAATCAGATCATCGTTTTGAATTTCCCTCCAAGTGTGTATTGAGTTCATGACTTTTGAGTGAGTTAAAAAGTCTAAAGTTTGAGAAAAGTTGAATTTTTGGAGGCCAGATATATTTTAATTTGTTTTAAGGATATTGGATTAATATTATGGTATGTTTTAAAGATCATTGTAGGACAATAACTTCTATATTCCATGTAAACAATATTTATGTTATTTGGAAAGTAAATTCATGATTTTTCACGTGTTTAGATAAATATCCCTTTTGTGTAAAGAATTGAGATGGTTCAGAAATAGCATTCCTTATTTAACATCACTTAACTCATATCTATGATGCACATTGTTATATATAATATGCATTCTTTCTTTTCATAAATTACAGCACCCAGTCACTGTGTGAATGATGTGTTGATTGCCAGGTGTACATTGTAGTTAGGTGTTTGATATGTTGATTGTAAAGCATACAATTCCACAAATTGGTAAGTCATAATTGTATATTGTAATAGTATGTTATTGTGCCTAAGTGATTATTGTAATTTGTAACTTTAAAGATAATCATATATTTATTGTAATTATTGTATATAATGTAAGTGTCATGTATTTTAATGTTACTTGATGATATTATTATTAAGACATCCTATAAGATATGTAATAATGAACGCCACTAGAACCACTTAATAATAAGTATCAGATACTGTGTATTGAATATTATGATAAGATGTGTTTTATATGTAATAATATAGATTGAAGGGAGATAACCTTGGAAAAGTATAACATTAAATGATAATACATTTAGTGACATTTAATGTGTATTTCAGTGTGCAGACTTGTTAACTATTGTTGATTCAGATCATTTGAGATTGAGCAACAAGTGGAACTGTGTTATTGACAGTATACCTGAAAGGAACTTTCTGGTTTGAATAACAGTAGATTGGTTTTATATATTAATGTGATTTAATATCAGATTACACAGTGACAGTGAACTTTTAATAAATTATATATCATACGAACCAAAACCTATTTGGATTTGTTGTTACTTTAATTTAACTGCAAATACCCAAAGGTAACATTTGTCTATTACCTGTATTTACATATTAGTAGAATTGTAAGCATCAGTCACAATCTAAATTGTTCTGTGGAGAAAATAACTAAATGGTATGCAAATGTCAACATTTAGCAACATATGTGTTTAGAATGGTAATTATGCCACACTGATTTGTAGAACTGTCTGATAATTATTGCTTTAACTGTATTCTGGATCTATAAGGAGAGAGGAAACACACTAGACGTCAACACCACATCTTACTTTAAGGAGTCATCCTGAGAAAATTGTACAGTTAAAGCAATATCCTATGATTCGATGAAATATAACCAGGATGCCCACCTTCTTTTCAACAACTAGCCATATAATCTGAACAATCGGTGTAACAAAATTAATTTGATACATGCATAAGTGTGGTTTATTTGTATGCGAGAAAGAAGAATGTTCAAGATTGAGAGAATATCGGATGTGGAAAAAGTAATATGAAAGAATGAAACAAAAATACTTTACGTTAATAAAAGAATTATATTATTACTTTGTAAAATCAGTTTTGCATAATAATGTAACATTAAATTGTTCATACATTGCTAAAGTATAAATACCCGAGTACTTTCGGCGTATTATACCTTCATCAGGGGTGTTTTACATGTATAATATGCACAAAATACAAAATAGTGCAAAAAATATCCAAACGTGTGTACTGTATACTATCAAAAGTTGCAATGAGAAAGGTGATAAAATTGCACGGATTATAAAGAGACCGTTATTGAGAGGTCATTGTTGTTATACTAACAAAAGAATAATATAGCCCGCGGACAATGTTGGGAAACGTGGATATAATATATGTATTTACACACGTTGCCAGGCAACTTACCGCGTACATGGTTGAGCGGGGTTATGATTGTCGCCGGTGTTTGATTTTGGCGGGGATTTGCACGTGAAAAGTATGATACATGTATATGTACTATAGGTGTGTAAAATAATCATTCGAGGATTTGCTTTTCGGCTGTTCAGGCGAGTTTTATCTTAACTTTTCATTTAAATTCAAGAATGAACTCGGACAGTTTATATGAGATAAAATCGTATTTTGATGCTAAGTTTGCAGATTTTAAGAAAGAGATATGCAAAGGAAGTGTTGCCAAAACTCACAAATCCACTGTTTTGAAAAACAAAGGGACTCAGATTCAGCTGGATCATAACTGTGAGCTGTTGGATTTCATTGTTCAAATTAGCGGACTGATTGAGTCAGGCGCTCGAGTTGTGTGAGACTGCTAAGGAAAAGATTGAACGTCGCAATAAACTGATAAAACTGGCAGACAAGTCACCTAGTGGTTGGTTGACTGTACACGAATATGAGCAAGACGATTTAGCCAGCGATGATGAGGATTCAAAGAGAATTAAAAAGACTGAGAAAGCAGCTGCGTCCATTATCAAACAGCGCAATGAAGCAAAGAAAGCGAACAGAAGGTTCATAAATGGTAGGTTTAGTTTAGTCAGTTTAGTATGCAAAACAATTAAACACGTGATAGAGTGTAAAGCTATGGGTGTCCTGATTGAACTAAGGTGGCAGTCTGCTGCTTACTGGCCTTTATTATTTGAAGATAACAGTTTTACAGGGAAAAACTATGTTGAGGATGTCTTAGAATTTTGTGACAGAAAAATATATGTTCATGGTAAAAACAAAAGATCTCTTTTTGGTTCTAGAAAGTTTAAGGGATTTGTTTTGGCAGTTAAACTTGATTCCAGATAATTAAAATAATTATCACGTTAAATTTGTAATTAAGTATTACCGGAAGGACTATTTTAGCTTCATGGGTAGACGGTCGGAAGGACCAAAGTCTGGCCGGTAGGGCCTACATCTGGCCGGAAGGGCCTAAGTATGGCCGGAAGGGCCCAAGTTTGACCGGAAAGGTCAGGACAGATACTTATGTGCAAATAAATAAAAAAAAAACCTATTTCTGCAGAAATTATTGGAGATATGACAAAGATAATTGTTCTTTATATCATTTAAGATCAGTTGCAATTGTAATCATAGGGTTTTCAGGATTTTTGAGGATCGAATAACTGTTAAATTTAAGGTGTACTGATGTTACATTCAATGATGATTACTTAAGTTTGTACATACGGTCTAGTAAAACTGATCAGTTAAGTCGTGGTTCTTCAGTTGTTATTTCAAAATCAACTGGTGTTACATGTCCATATACACTTTTCAAATGCTGATTTATCAAACGATAATGAAGAGCATGTTTTTCGGTCTTTATCTTCATGTAAGAAAACTAACTCTTTTAGATTAAAGAAAGGAGGTTGCTTATCTTATACTCGAGTTAGGGAGCTGTTACGTGAGATGCTTGTCGAAGTAGGCTTAAACCCTACTGATTATGGGACTCGCATTTTAAAACGCGGTGGCTCTACCGCCAGCGCTGTTAATAATGTATGTGATAGACTTTTTAAAAAGCACGGGGATGGAAAAGTGAGCATGCGAAGGACGGTTATTAATTCGATTCTCAGCCTTTCTTAAAATCTAGGATTGTAATTCAGTTTCGTTTCAGTTAATAGCGTTATTTGTCCCGTACTTTAAAATTCGACGCTGGAACAATCGCTCTTAGCAAATTGCATATAAATTGTTTATTTGTTTTGTTGTAGTGTAGTACATGTAAGTTGAACAGCTTAAGCTTGTAAATGATTTATGCTCGGTTGAAAGAATTGAATTAGAGCATAAATGTATTTACACACGTTGCCAGGCAACTTACACCGTACATGGTTGAGCGGGGTTATGATTGTCGCCTGTGTTTGATTTTGGCGGGGATTTGCACGTGAAAAGTATGATACATGTACTATAGGTGTGTAAAATAATCATTCGAGTATTTGCTTTTCGGCTGTTCAGACGAGTTTTATCTTAACTTTACATTATTTAGAAAATTGCGGTAGTTTTTGTAGATTATAATGTCGTATAATACACGGTTTTCAATCATTGTGTATAAATATAGTATTTAAAAATCAATGCATATAAACAATCTTGTTTTTCTAGTTTCAGATTCTGATGTATGATATGCCAGGAATGCTTGTTTAAAAAAAAATAGATGTTTCTGGGGACGAGAAGACGTCCATGCTGGTCTTGAGCCACAGGCTCTTCCCACCTCCCCCTCCTAAAAATAAGTAAAAGGAGTTAGGGTTGGGTGGCCTGCTCGCAGCATCCCGATTTAAGAGTTCATGAATATATTATATGATTGTATTTTTGTATGTGTATTCTTTATTGTAAATTCAAACATTGAATAAAGGAGTGATTATTATTTAAATTTAATAGGCATTTTTCTTTTCTCGTTTTTGTTTTTGTAGAACAATTAAAGTAACAGGGTCATTTTATCAAATTACTAATTATCTTTAATCATGTGCCGAAAACATGTGTCTAACAGTCAAGTTTTCTTTGTGAATTATATTTTTCAATTTAAGATGTTATGTTATTTGTTGTATGGGTTTCCATTTTTGTTAGTTAACGACCTATATGCCTGTCATGAATTACATCTAATGAGTATATGTTTGTTGTTTTGTTGTTGTTTTTTTTTTTTTTTTTCGTTGAATGATACGAAATCAGTTTAAGTTTAACTTGTCATTTGTTAATCTTTTGTGTATAATGTCATAGTGGTTGATACGAATAAGTTATAGTTCTTTCTGTGTATAAACTCGTCAAATAAACGGCTTGAACAATCGCTCTTAGCCAATTGCATATAAATTGTTTATTTGTTTTGTTGTAGTGTAGTACATGTAAGTTGAACAGCTTAAGCTTGTAAATGATTTATGCTCGGTTGAAAGAATTGAATTAGAGCATAACGAATCTTAGGGAAGTTTTAACTGTTTTACAAAAATTAAAACTATATATAAAAAGGCGTTTTGTGTTTATTTACTAAAAGTATGTCAGCCATTGCACTTTTCATCATGTAGAAATTAAATACAAATGACATTAGACGAAAAGCTCCCTGGCACCGAGAAAGAGTGCCATCCACGGCACCGCCTTATTATTTAAGCAATTTGTCAGATATGGGCGAGGATTAATGTTAAAGTTAGTCTCCTTTATCAATTTCTGATGGCTCAAGCGTATTAAGCCGGCAAATCCAGACAACAACTAGCCATAAAATGTGAAATAAATAAAATTTGATACATGTATTAGTGTTTTTATACGCCCGTTTTGAAAAAGGGTGGTATTATAGTTTCCCCCCTGGCGGCGAGTGGGTGGCGTCCGATTTTTGTCCGGAGCATATCTCCTACACGCATGGCGGGATTTTAATGAAACTTCATAGAAATGTTAACCGCTACGAATAGCCGTGTACAGGTCTCTAGGTCAAAGGTCAAGGTCAAACTTAGGGATCATTGAAAAACGCTTGTCCGGATCAAAACTTGTACTTGCATAAACGATTTCAATATACCTTGGCACAACTGTTAGCCATTTTAAGGCGGAGTGTCGCGTGCAAAATATAGGTCCTGGTGGCCAAAGTTAAGGTCTCACATAGGGGTCAAATTTCAGGTAAAAATATGAAAATGTGTATTCGGACCATTAAGGGATTGAAACACAAATGGTCATTATCGTGACTCCTGGTGTAAAACATGTCATTTATGTTAATATATACAAGGTCAAGGTCACTCAAGATGATAAAATATAGAAATTAAGTCCAGTGCACATCTCCTCAATGCATGGTGAGATTCTAATGAAGCTTCATAGGAATGTTCACCATTAAGAGAAGCAGTGTCAAGTTGGTCACACTTAGAGATCATTGAAAATATGCTTGTTTGGAACCGAACTTCTGCATTCATCAGGGGATTTTAATGTACTTTGGCACAAATGTTCACCATTGTGAGATTTATTGCGCATATAATCCAGGTCCCTACTACCAAAGTCAAGGCCACATAGAGAGGTCATAGTTTGTGAACGGGGACCATTTGGTCATCATTTATTGGTGGATTGTAACACAAATGATAACTATCATGACTACAAGTATTTGTGAACGGGGACCATTTATTCCTCATATTTACTGATGATA